GACAATGTGTTCTAGAGCTGGCTGGCTGGCAAGGTTCACTTATTTTGGGGGCCTCTGATATCTGATTTGAGGCAGCCCATGAAGTTTGCCCTGCACCCAGAGCTGGTAGGACTTTGGGCTAGGACCATCAGAAGCACCACCTGAGAATTTCTTCAAATTTGTAAATGCAAAATATCAAGTTAGTCAGTGAGTGAGAAGTAGGTGTACTTTTGTTTGTAGAATCATTAGAAGATAAGTTGTAGACATTCTCTTAGACACTTTCGTATGTTATTGTTGTTATGTGCCACCGAGTTGCCTGCCACTAATAGCGACCCTATATACAACAGCCTTAAACCCTGCTCTGTCCTGCGCCAATCTTATTGTCTCTGACACACCTACCCCTTTTACCCCAGTCACCAAATCAGTTCATCTCATCGAGGCTCTTCCTCTCCTGTGCTGTTCCTCCACCCTCCCAAACATGACGTCCCTCTCCAAGGACTGATCCCTCCTTGCAACATGTCCAGAGTATGTAAGATGAAGCTTCAGAATTCTTGCCTCCAAGGAGTAGCCTGGTTTCGCCCTATCTAGGATCAACCTGTTTGTTCTCTTAGCAGTTCATGGTATATTCAACACTCTTCTCCAGCACCACAGCTCAAAAGCATCAGTTCTGCTTCTGTCGTCTCTTGTCTTTGTACAGCTCTTGATGCATAGCAAGTGATTGCAAAGACCATGGCCTGTATCAGGTGCACCTTAGTCTCCAGACTGATATCATTGCTTTTCGGTACTCCTCTTAGAAATACTTAATGACATAGCCATAATCCCTCTATCACCTCTAAGGAAGTTAGCAGATCCAATATGCAGTTCATTTTAATTTCCCCCCATTTATCATAAAATTAGCTTTTACAACTGGTTTTTTTTTGAAACAAGACATAAATAAGATTTATATATTGCACTAGGTTATGTACCTTTCAATGGATGTCAGAAGAAAAACTGATGCCTTTGAATTATTGTGTTGGATTAGAGTACTGACTGTCCCATGGACTGCTAAAAGAACAAATAGATAAGTCTTAGAGAAGGTGAAGCCAGATTGCTCCTTGGAAGCAAGGATAGTAAAGCTTTGTCTTTCTTACTTTGGGCATTTGCTAGGAGAGGCTGTTCCTTGGAGAAGGACATCATGCTTGGAAAGGTGGAGGGACAGTGAAGAAGAGAAAGACCCTCAACTATATGGATTAACACAGTGACTGCAGCGATGGGCTCAAGTGTGTCAGATAATGTGTTTAGCACAAGACAGGAGAATGGACAGTGTTCAGTTTTGTTGTTAATAGGGTCGCTGTGAGTCATATTTGACTAGATGGCAGCTAATAACAACAACAGCATGTACCTTTTACTTAAAGGATTAATCCTTTCATTTTCCATTTTTAGGTAACTGGGCCAATTGTCTTATGTAATGTTCCACTGTGTATTTATCAGAGACTGTTATGATATCATTTGATTTGCTCCTCTCAACTACGTAAAGCCTTGATTAGTGTTAGGTTCTTATTTTTGGCAAGAACATTTAATAATTTCATGCCTCTTATTGCATCATATCTGGTAGTTTTGGGGACTTAAAATTCTTTTTTTGTCATAGAAAATTGTTAGGATTCACAAATATTTGCAAAATGAGCCCCGTTTGTACCATTATCTAGCTTCCAAAATAATCACATTGCTATATTGCTAGCAGGGTTTCAACATAAAATCCTTCATATTTATTCGTTTCTTTAGCTACCTGCTAGAATATTTTAAAGTAAATCCCAGACATGATAATAATTTTTCCATATAACTGCCTCACTATGAATCTCTAAAATTTTAAAATACAACACTATGACATTACCCTGTCTAACAGACGTAACAGTTCCTTATTACTATTTTGTGGACAGACCATTTCAGTTTTCCCTGAATATTTCAAAGGTGGTTGTTTTCATTTGTTCTGCTTGCATAACAAATTTATAGAATTGAAGCAAATTTAGATCTAACTTTAAATAAACACTTATAAAAGAAGCAACCAAAAAACCCTACCAACTTTTATCTATAATGTCCTGTTCTTATTCAGATAGTGTGGTTAGGTGCCATTGAGTTGACCTTATGGACAACAGATCTGAACCCTGTCCTATCCTGTGCCATCTTCACACTTCTGACACATTAGAGCCAATTAAGGCAGTCACCGTGTCAGTGCCACCCCTCTACCCTTCTAAGTGTCATGTCCCTCTCCAAGGAATAGCCCTTTCTAGCAACATGCCTGAAGTATGTAAGGCAAAGTTTAATCATTCTTGCCTCCAAAGAACTTCACCCTCTCCAAGATGTATCAGTTTGTTCTCTTGGTCATCCGTGTGATGTCCAGTTCTCTTCTCCAACACCACAGCTCAAAGGCCTCAATTAATTCTCCTTATTCAGGTGACTTTAGGGAGATCATAACTCTTCTCTGCAAATCTTACAAAAGCACAGTACCTCAAGTCTTCCCTCTGGAGTACAAGTTCAGCCTCATGCCTTATGGACTCGTGGGCAGCTGCCCCTTCTTTTGTCATCCTTTGTGTTCTGATTCAGACAGTGTATTCCAGTCAGCAGTCATGCGGGCCACACAGCTCTCTCTAGATGATTCCTCAAGGTAGATTTTACGGTTACCACAATCCTGTGTTTTAGATAGATTGTCCCATATTTCGAGATTTGCTGAGCACTCATGTTTTTCCTGGTGCTCTGTAAGCTAACCGCTGTGTTTTTCACAGTCTTTTGGATACTGTTTGAAAACAGCACTGACAAAAAGGTTATATTTTACTTCCTCTGGGAATGTGATGGGGATAATTATCTGTAGCTATTCCACTCCTATTATAAGACAAGTTACTCGATGTGTGTTACTGTGGCATAATAAAGCAGATTTCTGAGAAATAAGCAGCCAGTTACTTCTTATGCATCTCCAAGTTCACGTACTTTGGGCATATTGTTCTGGGGGGCTGGTCCTTGGAAGAAGAAATCCTGTGTAGAAAGGGGGAGGGTCAGCGAAAGGTCGTGACTAGGGAGCAGTGGGTAAAGGAAATGGGAAAGATCCGGTGTGGAAAAACAATGTATATGAGCTTTGTAAGTAAACCAGTATAAAACAAAAATTTTACTTTAAAAAAAAGATAGTGACTGTAGCAATGGGTTCAGATATATTAGGGATGATGAGAACGGTACAGCATAGGGCAAGGTTCAGCTCCACTGTTCCTAATGTCTGTGGGGCTTGCTGGCAACTAGCAACAGCAGACAGCCAAGAAAGATGGTTTTAAATATTAAAAAAATCTTATTAATGACTATTGCTTTCCAAGAGATTGATGGTGCTAATGTTGCTATTGCACTCTTTGGAAAGAGAGATTAATGAGATCATATTCATCTTTCTGGTCTCCGTTTTTGTCAAGCAGTGACCTTCACATAATGAAAGTTAATTTATGGGACAATCAATCAATTGATTTCCATTGGTGGAAATAAACACTTGAGTTTAGAGGACAAAGGACTTGGTTTGGCCCCTTGACTCTGGTTTCTGAAAATAGCTCTGAGCAATCAAGATGCGTTTCTTGCCCAAAATAGCCAGGGTAGTAGTGGCTTCACAAGGAGGGATGAAGGGGGGAGCCTTATGCAGCCTTGAATACTTAGTGGTTGGAATGATCACAGTTATGCATCAGGGCCCAAGTTCATTCATTGTTCTTTGGGGTCTCAGTAACTAAATGGCCTGGAATTTGGAGCACTGTTTTCTCTGAGGCTTTCTCGAGCTTGGTAGAGATATTCATGCATGCCCGTGGGTCAGTGGAGGCCCTCTGTTAGGAATGATCTCCGGCCTTGCCTGGAACACTGTTGTTTTGGGTTCTGTGGGAACATTGATGCATCCCCCCTGGGGACAGTGGAGGCTTTTGTGTTGGGAACTCTCCCAGCCCTTGCTGGAGGTATCTTTATGTTTGTTTCTTTTCTGGTTGTAATAAAAAGGTCACTATAAGTTTTAGTTATACATTCCATGAATTCTTGAAGTCATGCTAGTGAATTAGCAAGCACATGCAGGGAGCCAGGAGCAGTGAGAGTCAGCAGAGAGGCAGGCCTTTGTTGGATTGGCAGGACCTGGAAACACAAAGGTGGGATCTCTGATAGCATTGTCCAGAGGGAATTTTGCTGCTAACTCAGTACACCAGCGGTTTCTTCCTGTGCAGTGTACATCCTCAGAAACCCAGTGTAGGGTGAGCTCTGAGTTGGTTACAGTTTGAAGGCACTAAGCTGAGGAAGGACTGAGTCCTAACTTGTGGGGCTGCAATTCTGAGTTGGGGTCAGAGAGAGAGCGAACCATGTGATAACTGGTGTTAGAATGATGTGGTGGGAAAGCGGGATTATGAGTCATCTTTACATTTTGGAAACTAGTGTTAAATCAGTCATTATTGATACATGGTTTTAAATAATTACCCTAAAATCCATTTCTTAAATCTTTCTAAAGGACAGTTTAAGTTTATTCTCATTCTAATGAGAATCAGTTTTCGATCTTTTGTTCATAGGGTTGCAGTGAGTGATCTCAGTGACGCCTGACAATAACAATTACTAGTTAGGCAGTTTCATGGCAGTAATAGGCCATCACCTTAGCTTGCATAGGAATGGTGATCAGAAAGCCTGGACTTTAATGTTACCAACTGGATGACCTTCAGCAGGTTCCCTGAGCTGAGTTTCTTCTGTATAAGAAAATATCCTATGAGTTTGTTAACTAAAAATCATCCCTGTATTTTACTTTTCTGATCCTTGTCCTAACCTCGTTCTGCAGAATTGAAATACCCACTGAGTTTGGTCATCTTTAGAACGTACCTTGGTTTCTTTGATTCCTATACTGCTTTTATTGTAAAATCAAAACATTAAAAATTAAAACTTCTGAGCAGCATCATCCCAAGTGGTTTTCCAAATGAGTGGAGGCAGAAATGTGTCTGGCTGGAAAGAAAGCAATTTGTGACAGCTGTTGTTTCTGTTGCTTGTGTCTTTTTCCTTAGTACTTGGACAATGAGACCGCTTCTGCCACATTCATCGACAGCAGTGGACAATTTCTTTCCCCCAAGGTGACAGCAGTTAGCCGGAATCCCTACTGTGGCTATGAGCATCAGGCTCTGTCCACCCGGGAGCGCATGGAGGAGAACTCCCTGCTGGTGGCTTCAAAGTGGCAGGTGCCCGAGTTGGGCCCTGTGCCCTTTGTGGAGAGCACTGACCCTTCTTCAAGCTACTTTGTCATCTTGAACTCTGCAGCCTTCTTCAAGGTGGGAAGCCAACTGGAGGTGATAGTTCATGTACAGGATTATGAAGGAAAGGCCAAGAAGTATGGTGGTGACTACCTGCAGGCCAGGATCCACACTCCGGAGCTGCAGGCAGGGGCTGTGGGCAGAGTGGTGGACTACCAGAATGGATTTTACAAGGTCTTTTTCACGTTGCTCTGGTCAGGTACAGTTCATGTGTCCATATTGCTGGTCCATCCCAGTGAAGGGATCAGAGTCCTTCAGCACCTGCAGGAGGAGAAACCAGACAGGGTCTACTTTAAGAGTCTCTTCCGATCAGGAAGAATTTCTGAAACCACCGAGTGCAACGTGTGTCTTCCTGGGGGCCTGCCCCTGTGTAACTTCACAGACCTCTACACTGGGGAGCCCTGGTTCTGTTTCAAACCAAAGAAGCTCCCTTGCAGCAGCAGGATTAACCATTTCAAAGGCGGGTACTTGAAGGGCCTCCTCACTTCTGCAGAGAGTGCTTTCTTCCAGAGGTACGTGCCTGTGTTCTAGAATAAGACTGAGAGCCCGTTCTTCTCTCTTGGTCCCACCTTAGGAGAAGCTTTCATGTCTCTCAGAAGAAAAATGAAGCCGTCTGCTTCCATAAACATTGACATCCTCAGAAGCCCCAGGGACAGGTCTGCTCTGTCCTGTATGGTCACTGTGAGTGGGAAAGGACTCAATGACAGTGAGCTGGGTTGGGTTTTTGGTTAACTATTTCAAACTACAAATTATGGTCGTTTTGGGGTATACACTCATAAGACAGGCTAGACAGTCAGTGTGAGAAAGTATTAAAGTTCTATTTAATTCCTGTCAGTTTATACACATACATGCACCTGCTTATTATAGGATGCCTGGATTTCCAGATAGAAAAAGAGCAACAAACAGGTGAACAGGCCTTTATTAAACAACTGTCTGAGAAGGAGACCAGGTGATCGCAGGCAGAGAAGATCACAATGGCATGCATGCAGACAAAGGCATTTTCCTTTTATAGGGGCAATTAAGACAGTTGAGAGAGGATGATAGTTTGCTTGAAGTTCTTACCAGGATGTGATTAGGCCCAGGGAAATTGGGGGTTGGGAGATATGGTGGCCTCATGGTCAAGCCTTATCAATATATGGTCAGGTCTCACCAAGTGATGGTCAAGCCTTGGGCTGAGTGCTTAAAGTGGGCCAGAAACTGTGATATTCTTCCTCTACAGATTATGAATAATTATACTGGTTAACCTTTGTAAATATAGAAAAGCCTGCAAAATATGGAACTTATAAAAAGTGGAAAACCTGTCAGAGGCAGAAAATGCAAGTATTTTTTACTAAAAGGAAGATAAGAAAATGTAAAGATTGCACCCTGTCAAAAGTTGAAAACTTATGAGAGTCAGAAAAACAAGAAAGCCCTTTCAAATTCTGGCTCTCACAAGTTATATTTTTAATCTTAATAAGGTTTTATTATTTTCTTTTGCACATTAAGATTTATCACTGGAAATACATGTTCCTAAATCTGAGCTTATGTTATTTTCATTCCTTTTAAAGTGGTGTCAATATAAAAATACCCATCAAATCCAGTGGACCTGATTGGGTGACTGTGCTTCCCAGAAAAAAAGGTAAGAAGACGTGGACTTGATGGTTTACTATTTTCTTTATTATTCTTTTGCTAAGTGAGCGAGTTGCTATTGTTCCACTGTTGTTGTACTCACATTTCTTTCTTTACTGTGTTGTGATTACTTTTTGGGCATAATTGAAAACACTGAATGAACTGTTTGGTTTAAAAAACAATCAAATAAAAAACTTGATAAAGAACTTGTTATGAGATTATGTCCCCCCCATGCATACATAATTTGGGTTTTGTTATTTCTGCTCATATAAAAGTTATTTTTTTTTCCTCCCACTTTCCTCTTTTTGGCCTTTTAAGAAACTCTTGTGTGTCAGGAAGTATGAGGATGGCGCAGGACAGAACAGTGTTCAGATCTTTTGTTCATTGGGTTGCTATGAGTTGTACTCTACTTGACAGTACATAACAACAAGAAGGAACTCGAGAGCTGTGGTGTCCAGTGTGGTTGTTATTTTAACTTAAATTACAGAATTAAGTATTCAGTTCTTGAGTCACATTAGCCAAGTTTCATGTGCTCACTAGACATGTGGTCAGTGGCCACCATGTTAGGTGATATTTGATATAGAATGTGTCCGTCATTGTAGAAAGTTCAGTTGGATTCAATAGCTGTGTGAAGCTGCTATTAAAAACTTTTAAAATGAAAAAACAAAACAAAACACAACCCAAACCAACTTTTAAAATGGGAAAGCACTAGGTTAGTGAGTAACAGTTGTTCTCCAAGAGTGATTTCTGGACCAAGAATATTAATTTTATCAGAGGACTTCCTGGAATTGCATGTATGTCAGGCTTCGTCTCAGACTGCCGAATCAGAAGCTGTGGGGGTGGTGCCTGGCTTTAAACAGAGCCTTTCCATTTTTCTCAGTCATTGGTATAGGATGTTGCTAATAATAATAATAAAAAAAAATGAAAATCAGAATATAAATCTTTGTGTGTTGGCTAATCATTTGACTGTAATTTGAACCCACTAATCTCTTCCCTGGGGCAGATGTGACAGTTTGCTTCCATACAGATTTACAGCCTAGGAAATCTTGCGGGCAGTGTTCCTCTATCCCTATAGGTTGCTGTGAGTTGGAATGGCCTTGATGACAGCAGGTTTGATTTGTTTTTGAATCTGACCTCTGTCACCATACTTTATCACAGGATCACAGTGAGGCAGGAGCAACTTGATGGCTCATAACAACAACAACAACAACAGTATCACCACCACATAATGTATTTTAGCATAATATAGAATGGTTATAATGATTGTTGTGTGCTGTTGAGTCAGAGCAAACTCATAGTTGATCTTCCAGGAGGTTTTCAGAGGCAGTTAATTGCATGGGAGGAGATTGCTCATCTTTCTCGTGTAGAGCTGCTGGTGGATTTAAACCATATACGTTTGGGTTGCCAGCACAGCTTCTTACCATTAGGCCACCAGAGCTCCCTAGTTATAATTAGATATAGTGATTTTTAGAAAGAATGAACATAATTGAGACTGACAGATGACAACCAAGGCCTGCTTTAATCAGCAGTATCTCACACAGTGGGTATCACAGATACTAGTGACACAGGGGCTGGGCAGGTAATGCACAGGAGTGAAGTAGGCTCATTATTTGCCACGTATGAGAAGAGGGGAAAAGGAGGTGAGGGCAGAACTGAAGTGCTATGACCATTCAGAGGGGTAGCTTCTGGTCTCCAGCTGTTTTCATGCAGAAATGTTGATCTAGTGCTGCTGGATATGCAGGTCATTATTCTCATGAGAAACTGGAAATCTTAGATTTTAAATGTGAAATGTCCAGATTTTAAAATATTGGCATCTAATTGAAAATGAGTAAGACATAATGTGGGCTGAAGTTGGCCTGCAGTCCAGACGCTGACGTGGCACTGGCAGCCTGCAGCTCTCATCTCCACCTCCTGTAAGATTGTGCTGTAAGAATTCCCAGCCTTAAAGGACAAATATTGCGTAGTGCCACTGTTACATAACGAAACTGATATCAGGGTTGGGGAGAAACTAGGAAAAGAGGGGATAAATAATGTACTCTGCATTGAAACAGGTGAAGGAAAGAACTGCTTAAAAGGAATATATCATTAGGTATTTGCATGACAACAGTCCAGAATAAGAGTGGCATAGTATAGTGGACTGGAGTGGGGACAAGGATTTGCATAACAATAAAAGACTATTTTTTGGGGGGGGGAGCTCTGGTGGCCTAGTGGCAAGAAGCTGCACAGCAATGCCAGAGGAACACGGTTCGAATCCACCAGACGCTCTGCCGGAGAAGGAGGCGCAATATCCTCCTGTACCAGTCAGATCTGATTTGACGGTACACGCACACAAAATAAAATAAAAAAAAATACTATTTTTTTCAAAGAAAAGTGAACTAGGGGGAGGGGTTGGCAGGGAGGAAAATGTGCAACAATGAATAACAGTGAATAACAATGAATGAATAGAAATCCAAGTTCTCAATAAACTTTCATTAAATTCTCAAGAAGAAGAAAAAAAGAATTCCCAGTTTTTCCCTAATGGAGACTTCTGTTTGGTTTCTCTAAACTTGGTGAATGACTGGTTTTCGAGGCTACATATGGGAACATCACAAGTGAGGATATTATCTTTCATGTCTGGGCCTCAAGCCCATGGCAGTGATGTGGGTAGCAGGGACCCCCTACTAGTGAGACAGTCTTCACTCTCCCACGTTTTTCGCAGCCCCTGCCTCTTCCATCCACTTTTCTCTCTCACAGCTCTGCCTATCTGGAAGGAACTGACTTGCCCCTCCTTGTCCTGGAGTCCTTGAGTGAAATGATCGGTGGGAAGTGCTCTTGATACTTTTCTTGCACCTAACCAGTCTCGTGGCTAAGCCAGGAAGTGGCTGTGGGCTTATGATGAACTGTTCCATTTCGTTGTAGCATCAGAAAAGAGAATACAGTACCTAGTAGGGATTTTTGTGGAACAGAGCAACCATGAATTAGTAGAAGCAGAACAGCCTGGCATAGAATGGGGAATTCAGTGCTGTCTTGGAACAGGTAGAGAATTAGAAGAGAGGTCAAGTGTTAGGTGTAGCTTCATTGATATTCACTCTGGTGACCACTAGGGGGCATTTAAAATAGAGATGAAAAACATGTTGCCTTCCATTTGTAATGATCACTGATCCTCCAGAGGGTTTTTGGAAGCAATAAATCACAGAGGAGACTGTCCATCTCTCTCCTTCCATAGAGTCACTGGTGGACACCAACCTCCAGAGAGGTGTGGCCTTTGGACCTACAGATTAGGTCACCAGAGCCCTCTTTATCAGTATGGCCTCATGATTATTTATTTCATTCTTTGGGTTACAATATAGCACTATTGTGATTTTGTTGCCCAAATTGTTTTAGCTGTGACCAATGAGAATTTTTCCAGGTTGGCTTTTGTGCCCTTGATAAGCTCTTACTATTCCCACCCCCCTTTCCCCCCAATTCCCATCTTGGATAGGCTCATATTCCTTTCACTTCATTATTTCACTTCTGAACCCAAAGTGCTGAAGAGTTTGAGGGTTGGGTTTTTTTTTCTCTGTGAAATTGTGTTATATATTAGTATGTGGCCAGGAGGGATTGATCCTTGGAGAAGGACATCATGCTTGGAAGAGTGGAGGGACAGTGCAGGAGAAGAAGACCCCAGATGAGATGGATTAACACTGGGACAATGGAAGTAGGTATCTTGGAGTCAGTGAGACTGGCTCAGGACAAGGCAGACTTCAGAGTTGCTGTACACAGGGTCATTGTGGGTCAGAGGCGACTTGATGGCACCTAACAACAACAATAGTAACAACATTAATTGGTTTTTCTAACATGGTAAAATTATTCTAAGACATATGTTTATAGTCTCGTAGTGTGCTTGAGATTGCCAAAGCTACTCTCTTTAATGATAATTCTAATTAGAAGCAAATAATACAAACTTCCATTGTGATAGACGGAAAAAAGATTGAAGTTGTTAAGGATTTAACTTTATTTGGATCTATAATCAGCACCGATTAAGCAGCAGTGAAGGTATCAGATGATGTACTGAACTGGACAGATTTACTGTCAAGGACCTTTATAAAGTGCTGAAAAGCAAAGATGCCAGTTTAAAGACTAAGGTGCAGGAGACTCAAATCAATGTTTTTGGTTGCTCTGTGAACTTGTGAAAGTTAGGCAGTGAGTAAGGAGACCGAAAAAGAAGTGATGCCTTTGAGCCAGTTGTGTTTGTGTTTGTGATTGTGAAGAGTATTGAATATATCATCATCGTTGCATTGCCGTCAGGTTGGACCTGACTTGTAACTGACCCTCCATTGGGTTTCTGAGGCTGTAAATTGCACTGTTGGTCTTTGCCCATTTCTTCTTCTCAGAGCGACTAGTGGATTTGAGCCTTTGGGTTAGCAGCACAGTGCCCTGCAGACTTCACGACCAGAGCTCCCTGATCATCCCAGGGACTGCCAAAAAAACAGATCTGTCGAAGAGAAAGTGCAGCTAGGTTTCCTTGATGGCAATGACGATGAGGTTTTACCTTACATGTTTTGGGCGTGTTTTCCTTGGGAAAGGACATACTATTTAGAAGATTGTAGCATCACAGAAAGAGATGAAGATCCTCAACTAGATGGATTAAAAAGTGACTGCAACAATGGCCTTAAGCACAGCAGAGATTGTTATGGATGGTCCAGGATCAGATAAGGTTTATTCTTTTGTCCAGAGGGACACTAAGTCTGAATCCATTTGACAGCACTTAACAATAACATCAGCCACCTTAAAAAGGGCAAGAAGTTGGTTTCTGGTACTCTTCACTGACTGCCATCTGATTCTGTTGTTCATGAGATTGTAATGAGTTGAGAGCTGACTGAACAGTAGCTAACGACAGCCTCATCAACAGACAGATTTTCTAAGAGGCTGAAATAAGACTAGATCGAATAGCAATAGTAGAAATACTATTGTTAAAGTATTTAGTCCTCTAAATACTTCATAATACTTCACTGTTTTGCATTATTTATAGAGCTGTATATTTTAAAACAG